GTGTGTAAATACATATGTCCTCAAGCATACGCGCTTGTGACCAGGCTTTGATACAATCGCGCACATATATGGTCCTGGTGTCCATGTGAGACCATCCATAGCAAAACTATCATCTGATTCACGCCGCCTTGCGAGTGCATGACTTAACAGACATCGAATAATAGCATACAGACGCCATTCGAACACAGCTAGTGCAATTGATTGTGAAGTGGCTCAGTTACCAATCCGTTAAGAACAGTCCACTCAAAACCGGTTGGTGTTGCTGGTGCAGGCACAAATCGGAAATCCAGCGCAGGCGAAACGAATAAAAGTAAAGATGCGTCGGACAAACAAACAGTCAGCCAACCGAAGGAGCCATCGCTACTCACGGCCAACCCCAGACCCATGGCTGTCAAAGACTACGGCGCGCGATACCTGGTAAGTATATCTCAGCATATGTGCGGTTGAGACACGTTAAAGTAGATGGACGTACTAGCTTAGTTTATGCCACGATGGTGTGTTGGATCATAGGTTCATCTCAATCTAACCCCAGTTGTCATACCCCGATCTATTTCCGCATGGGACTGTCTACAGCATATTCGTGCAGTGCATATCACGGCACAGGATGATTGTTCGGTTTAGTACCCCACGTGAGGGTCTGCAAATCCGGGTGTGCGTGCTTGTGCATCTGTGTGACGTTGGATGTGTGTATCCATGATTGTCTCGTCAGAATTGCAATACAGAGCGCGAATTCGTGCACACAGTATATCTACGAGGTCGAGTACTGCATGTCCAGCAGATTTGGTCTGCATATGAATACAGAAGTGCCTGTGATTTCCAACTCGCGGCTGTATTACAGAGATTCTCAGAGGTGCAGTTATAGTCGTTGAATCGATGTTGGCAATCTTCACACCCAACGGGCACTGCCATGTTATACCTACTTTCAATGCGTACCTACTAGTGTCGTACGTCGATGGGAGCCATCTATCTAGATTCGAAGGGTTGGCCACAGAAGTTGGTGCCACGCATCCACTATAGCATCCACAACTTACCAGGACATAGGCGAATATACACACAATCTCAGAACACTTTCCAAACCTCACCACTGCTTACAAGTATTGCATGTATCATAACAGACGCCAAGCATCAAGACCTTCAGTCGGCGATGGGACTACTCACGGCTGATCACAGGCTCATATGTGTTACAAGAGTACTACGCAGCAGAGGCCACGAACCACAAGCGAGCGCTTCTCGTGCTTCAGCAGCAGCAGCTCTTGCAACAAACAGCACAACAGGTGTCACAGACACAGGCGACGGCTACGAAGGTGTGTGTGGACAGATGCTGTTGGGTGGTCCGGGTGATGCAGATGCCTGTAGGTGACTGTAGGTGACTGTTGGTGCTTCTTTCAGTGGTGTTTGTTTGTTAGTTTTCTAAATGTTTACACTTAAGGTGGATTTTGAGTGTGGTCGGAGAGAACTCGATGTTCGTATGACAGGCAATATATCACAACGAAAATACGAATTTGTTCGGTGTATATCGGTATTAAAACCACTGCAAGAAAGCAATGTACATATAACATTTATATATATATGATATTTCTAAGATATGTCACGGTTATAACGATGCCGGATCGTAGCACATGTATATGGGTGTTCTGAGGTACATACGATCGTATACTTGTCTCATCGACACAAGTCTATTCGCGACCTGTGTGTATCTGATGCACATTTCCATCCATTTTCTGTACAAGGCTGTTCCAAAAGACACCCTACGATATAGGCCCCTGCTCACACTTTCCCTACTTTCCCATACTTGCCTCCCAGACGTTACCCTCCGCACTCCCGTCCTCTCTGCCATCAGCAGCTGCACTAGCGGCTGCAGCCTTCGACAAGTCATCGCCAATGGTATCGCGGTCTACCACTCCTGTCCCGTCCACCAATATGCCGACCATCATCGGTGTGTACATCTGACTATATAGTCATTGATGTGTCTTTGAAAGTTCTTGTGATCTGTACCGTTTTGGTGTTCGCAAATATACACCGACGGGACATACGAAGTCTGAAACGTACGCCATCGATAAGTCCATCGCAAAATGTTGTAAGGTACACTTCTCTGATGTACCTGAATTGCTTTATATATATATATATATATACAAGTTCCTTTGGAGGTGCTTGTAGCTTATTCGTGTCCATCTATACATCAATACATGTCGATTATCATTGGTGTATATAACTTCACTATATACCACTCAGTTGTTCTGTGGTGGTGCATGTGATTCGAATGCATCCGTAAAGATTGTATTGACGACACATCGAATAGGTTGGCGACGTCTTGGACAATAAGTTAAATCAGACATAAAAGCTTAATGCGGCACTATAGCTGCCTGTGTCTTTGTACGACACCTGCCACATCCGTAGACACTGATCACCGCATCTCGCACAGCACATGTGGTATCGACATAGGATTATGTTGTTCCTGATTGTCAGACATGTTCTTCATGGCACGAGGGACTAACGCAATAACACTGGATCGAATCGCCTGCTGCTGCTTATGATATTCGTTCCTTTTTGTTGTGCGATCTGCTTGCTTAGCGTTGCACTCTATATTATAGAAGTAGTAATTCACAACTAATTTAATATCATATAAGTGGTAATTCACACAACTAATTATATATCATAGAAGTGGTAATTCAAATATCATAGAAGTGGTATTACACAACCAATTTTATATCATTGAAGTGGCAATTCACAACTAATTTCATATCATAGAAATGGTAATTCACAACTAATTTCATATCATAGAAGTGGTATTTCATAACCAATAACATATCATAGAAATGGTATTTCACAACTAATTTCATATCATAGAAGTGGTATTTCATAACCAATAACATATCATAGAAATGGTATTTCACAACTAATTTCATATCATAGAAGTGGTAATTCACAACTAATTTCATATCATAGAAGTGGTAATTCACAACTAATTTCATATCATAGAAGTGGTAAGTCACAATAAATTTTGGAACCAACTTTTTGATTGTGTCCAATATTCTCCTCCATCCAATGCTATACAGCAACAAAGACGAACAAAACCGGAAGGACCGGAGGCAAAGCTGCGGTATGTGATCTGCTTATTTGAAGTGAAACTAGTACGCATTGATTTTATTGCCATGTAAGTATGTGATGATGTTGAATTTGACACCTGGATCTCGATAACACGACTCACGTTTTTCGAATTTTCTATGTAGGGATCCCTCTCTCTCTCATACTAAAATGTTACAAACTATGTTCATATGCAACCTTCAAGTCCTAAGCTGATTGGTGTATTCCCCTATCAAACATTCACTTATCTATGCCACCATATGTACAGACGCCCGTACTGTACAATATCTCATGTGCGCGCGTTAGTTGAATATGCACTTACACGTGTCTGTTTCCGGTATGTCTAGTTTGGTAGGCGCAGATTTTAGCGGCATTTTTAACCCCTTGTACACTTTCAGACATACATAGTAGTATGTGACGCGATGTACTCATTTGTCATACCCGGTCGTCTTTGTCGCTGTGTAGACTAAACGGAAAGTCACAGCCAAAGATGAAAGCGCAGCGAGGCCAACGAAGGCACTGAAAGTTGGGTAGGTACACAATATTATGACCCGCTTTATATATGGCGTGCACGGCACGCATATGAGACGTATGCTCATCTATCTGGTCATTCAAACACGAGCAAAAACTTAGATTTCAAGTATGAATGTAATTGAAGATATATACAATAATTCGTGAATGTATACATACATACATACACACACACACACACACACACACACACACACACACACTACATATATATAACAAATAAATATA